GGTTCCAAGCGAGACCACCCGGGACCTTGCAATGATCCGAAGGTTACGGGCCCCTCCCCGTCCTGCTCAGCTGCCGCTGGGATTCAAGGCAGGCACCACATCATCTGCAAAGCTGCAGCCGGCGCCTGTGAGGGAGTATCCTATGCCCGGGGCCCTGGAGAATACATCCCGCCAGCCTCTTCCCACCCTCGCCCTCCTCCGCCACTCCTGTCCCCCCACAAAGCAAAGGTCTTGGATGAACTCACCTTGAACCGACACTCTCCAATCTTCCAGAGCTGCACAGCATTGTTGTGGGTAGCAGCCAAGACATGACAGCCCTGGTGGGAGACAAAAACGGAGAGACCGTGGGGGGCGTGTTTATCAGCTTTCCTCTGCCCTGCCTGAGACAACACCATTGGCAGCAGAACTCCCTTAAGAGGCAAAAGATGTCTGTGTATCTTAGCTTGCATTGGCCTCATTCTTCATGCTGCAAATTAGTTTGCTTTTGTTTCATAATGAGTCATGGATGGGACGGGCCATCTCAAGCCTTCATTTGCAAGTCTAGCATCGGGTGGGGCTTGGAAGAGACTGAAAGGGCGACTACATGGGCATTTACCCCGCCGTCTGCTGCATTTCCACCTAAAAACGGAGGCCAGGCAACCTATTTGCTGGAGCCGATCAGCCCAGCCCCTAAAGCGTTGCTAACTGCCCCTTTCTGGGTCCTGTCAGGGGATTCTCTTTTTTGTGTGTGTGGGTAGAGATCACTCCGGATGGGTTCAGATCAACCCATTAGGAACAGGTGTTTTGTAAGGTTACTGGCTCCTAATTGCTTACTGAAGAGCCTGTTAAGCTGAAACACAGAAGCGACAGCATGCACGCATTGGCCTGTTCCTGGAAGAAGCCATTTCTCTATGCTCTGCACAGAGTGGGAGGAACGAAACCTGCGAGGAGAGAAGGGCAGGCAAGCTGGTCGTCCCTGCGGTTCAGAAACTCCGGAGACCTCAACTCTGCGACTCCCGGCTCGGCTACTCCCCTGAAGCGGAGCTCTGAGTCATCCCCACCGAGCCACTTGGGGTGAAGGGGAGGATCCTGCACACACGGAATGCAACATCCATCCTGCTCTGAGCCACCGTGCTTTATCCAGCTCACGCACGTCGCCAGCGGTTTGTCCTGTTTGGCCACACACTCACCGAAGGGTCGAAGTCAATGCTGGTGAGGCTGCCGTTGGCCCCTTCCAGGGTCTCGAGGGTCTCCAGCCGACCTGAGGAGCATCGGAAAAGGACAGTCAGGGTGCGGCGGCCAGCCACCTCCTC